CCTCTCCTACCAACACATTTTTTCTTTGTTAGGCCTGTAAGCCAGGAGCTTGTTCTTCTCTGCTTTTTTGGTTTTCGTTAACCCGTGTCAGCACTGCAGAGGCTGCCTACAGATTTGGGTTTGCCCAGCTGTTTTATCTGACTCCAGAGTTACTACTCTGCCTCTATTCTTTTTTCTTCTGCCCTGTTTGGATTCCTGGAAACTTTGGCGTTTTATTTTTATTTTATAGACTATTTTACACCTTAAAAGAAAATGGGAGAGATTCTTTGTGATTGGATACAAGATGCAACCTTCTCCAGAATAGCCACATACATTTTTATTTGAGCTTTGTGTACGTCATTTCAGCCTATCACCACGGGAGATGAAAGCTTTCTGTGCTGTAGCACGTAGCGCAGTTTCACAGCTGGATGAGCTGAAAACCCTGTGCTTTAATTCACTTCTCAAGGGCTTATTATCATATGGTGAATTTGAGGGGCTTTTGGCATCATTGGTGGATAATTATATGGAAACTAGATATGGGGAGGGTCATACTAGTGTGGTAGCTGAACGGACACTTTGGGTTTTGCCAGCTCATCCGAACGGTCTAGAGTAGTTTCATGAGTGACTTGACACTTCAGCAGTATCGCTTATTTTAGAATTTTGAAATCTTAGGCAACACTGCAAAATTCATCCTACTAACGTAAATGTTTCCAGGGGTTTGTATCTTCCCAGGTTTTAGAATAGTTAAACTTGAGGCCCCTTTACTGACATCTTCGCTACGTCAGCCCTCAGTCGTTCACACTAAACTGCTTTGTCCGCAAAAAACCGGCTACACGCGTATTTTTGAATAATGTTGCTTAGGTGTTTCTCCCTAGAAGGAAAAAAAAAAAAGGGGGAGGAGGGAGGAGTTGTGTAATAAAATGTGTAACTTACATTTGCCTGTATTTCCTGAAACTTAATGGCAGATGTGCATGACCAGTGGGGCTGCCCTGCTGTGAGGCCGTTACCCTATTAACAGAATGTATGCATCTCTCTGTGGTTGACCCGAGCTGATACTTAACGCAGTGCTCAGTAACAAGTTGGGACAAGTAACGGATTGGTTTTGGCTGCTGAATTACCTCGTGAAGTCTCAGTTTTGACAGTGGCTGGCTGCTGCCCTGCATACTTGTACACCAGCTTGGCAGTCAGTGGGAGTAACTAAAGGGTAGGAGCGTTCTCTAGTGTCGTATCAACAAAAAGCGTATTTGTTCAGGGTAGATCCTAACAGGACTCTGGTAGAACTTCATCTCTGTGAAACTTTATGGCGATTAATTATAGTACTTTTTGGTAGAATTTATTTTTTGAGATGGGACCTAGACAGTGCTGGGAATCTGAGCGTTCATAACCAGGTGAGCAGGCTGAAGTCGTAGCTCGACTTCCAATGCACCATTACAGCAGCCATCCAGTCTGATGTGGTTCAGAAGTCTTCCTTCCCAGTTCTGACATGGTATATATGGAACAGTGAGTCATTTCACATGATTTCCTTTAGGCTTCTGATTTAATGACTCCGAATCACTCCTTCAGAGATTCTGGTCACTGCAGCGAACCCAGACTCCAAACTGGTTTTTGTACCTTCTTAAAGTACCTTAAAGCACATGATTGAGTTACGTCCCCTCTCAGTAGCAGTACAGCCGCAGAAGTTCATGTGTCATGAAGGTTTTTTCTGTAACCTGATACTGCGTTTGTGTGAGTAGTATGAAGGGGCTGGGGTCCTTGATCTTTTTCAAAAGACAGGTGGCAAAATACTGATGTGAATTTAATTGGCGAAAGTGAGAGACTGGTAAGTATGTGCATCACTTTAATGCATGCAAGTAATAGTAACAGTAACTAGCTTAATTTTATAGCATTCAGTTTCCAAAGAAGATTAAAAGAAAATATGGAGCTAACATGATTTGCATCCATTGGGAACCTTCTATGAACTGTATGCTTCAGAAATGGATCATCTCACCTATACATGTCTGTAATGTGTGTCTACAACTTGTAACAGTCTCTGATTAAAGAGGAGTGAGCTACTGTTTCTGTGTGGGTTTTTCCTTCTCACGAGGACCTATTTAAAGGATTATTGCAATGAATGTTAGCTGTTTCAAAGTTAAGTATGAAATGCACTTTCACTCATGTTACGGTTTCAATAACTGTGCTACCTCTCTGGTTGTCTGTAAACTGCAAAAGCTCATTCACGTGAGCTTTACCTTAGTGTTCTGTACCTGGAGACAAGCAGATGGACCCTGACTTTTAACCTATAGCTTCCTTTGCTGATGTGGTGTCCTTGCACTAAACTGACTGTACGAAACTGTTGACTGTTTAAATTGGAAGAGTCAGGGAATATGGAGGAAGAGTATCAGGTAGCATTTTCATAAAACCCAGTAGAGAGGGCATGCTGTTACGTGGTCTGTTCTAAACCCTTCTAGAGCGACACGCTGAAGAGGTGCGGTGGCTTTGAGGATGGCATGTCCTTGCAACTCCTGCCCACAGGATGAGAATGGGTTATTCTGCTAGGCCGGTTGGTCTCATTTAGCTACCACTGTGCACTCGCAGAGGAATTTCTAAGACATGGTTAAAGGAATACAAATCCATGATTTTAATGCAATGCTACCTGGAACAATTCCTGGCATTTTGAGCTGGACATGTGTAATGAGGAATTCAGTACTAAGTAGAGGACCCTTTAGGGAAGACTGCTGCTTTTCATGAGCTCATTTCTGGGGTTGGCTCTAGGGAAACCTAAGGGGACATCTGAAAAACAGCAGCCGCTTTGTCCTAGAAGCTGGCTAGGGCAAGGGGGTTTCCGTTGCCTGGCCAGTTGAAGCACTCCCAGGTTTGATTTAGCAGACCTTTGGGAAGTTTGAATATGACTGGGTAAAGAACAAGAAGCATGGGGCTGTACTGCTGTGTGAGCCTCAGCAGGGTGTTCTGCAGTGCAGCAGCCGAAGTGCTGGTCTGTAGTCTTACGCTTTAAATCTTGTTTTTTCTGCAGGGCACAGGGGAAGGATTGTGTTTATAATACCCAGATGAGGTAAGGTGTTTGGATCTAAGCCTTTAGTTTCGAAGAGGTAGACATGCTTTGAAAAGCAAGACCCCTACTTAGTTCTCAAAGGATGGGAGTGCAGTGGCGTGGGCTGCAGTGGCCTGGGCTACAGGGCGAAGGATGGCTGGCTGCCGGCAGGAAGGAAACGAGTTACAGACCCTCTGGCCAAGTTGTCCGTCTTCGGTTCTTCAGCGAGGTAAATATTTCTTTTTGACAACCAAAGCTCTGCTTTGGCCACAGCACTCGAGCAGCTCGTGTGAGCTCTTAAGCTGTTAGTGCTTTCTTTTAGCTCCTGTGCTTTTCAGTAAATTTGCATATCCTGTTTCTGCACCAGCTTGAGGCCATCCTTACACCTCCCATGCTAGACTGAAGAAAGCTGTCCTTGCCCAATTAACTCTTCAAACACACACACACCCCTCGCCCCCTGCATCGTGGCGTTGGGGGCAGAGGGGGCTTTGTCTAGCTCTCTTGCTCCTGGCAGTTCAGATGCTGTCGTGGTTTGCTCTTCCAGTGCTCATCTTGGGGAAAGCTGCCCTGGATATGCTTAACCCCTCTGGTTCAGCTTAACCCGTAAGCATTCACTTAACCCTGGTGAAAGCGGCCAGCCTGGATTTCCCGAGCAAAAATGCAGCCCCCCAAGAGTACTTTGCTGTTGTGTCTCCCAGACCAAAGGCGTGAGGAGACAAGTATTGCCTGGCCAGCAGTCACAAGCTTTGCTTCTGCTTTCCAAATGTAAAGACTTAAGACTAGATAAAAAGAATCTTCAGTTTCATCCTGTTTGTTCTGAATTCATAGTGGCTTGCAATTCCTTTTACAGTTTTTGGCTGTGCCTAGGTCCTGACTGAAGTTGGGAAAACAAATCATACCTTGCTCCTGTTAGAAGTACATCTTCAGGTAGGGTAATTTAAGCCTGCATAGAAATGGTAATTCTTCCCAAAGGTTGTTCATTAGTTTAAAACTTTATGATAGGTTTTCTGGAGATTTTAGTGAGAATACAGTATCAAACAGCGAGAAACTCGAAGAATAACAGGCAGCTTTATTATTAGAAGCTTAACATGACACAGTGGTTGCAGACACCGTGCTGGCAACTCCATTGCATTTTCCAAGTAGTAAATGAGGCTAGGCAGTGCTTTCCAGCATGGATACATACAGCAGACAAATCTGAGTTGTACTGTGTGGACGCTTCCTAGATAATGCTGCAAAAACATGTCACCAAGTGCAGGAATTGTTCGGACTGAAATTGTAACTGCATAGAAATAATCTTACGTAAGTGCTTACGTGCCTGCACCCCTCCCCAGACACGTTCATCTAGCATGGTCTGTAGTATGTACGTGGAGAAGCAGTGTAAGAGGGATGTAAAACTGGAGACCTGCATCTTCCTGATCCTGATGTTTGCAAAGTCACCTTAAAGATGCTTATTTCTTCTCTGCTACACTGGATCCTGGCTCTCAGTTGATGGGCGGGTGTATTTTATACATAGTAGGTTACAGCTAGTGTAATGCACGTGCTGTAAGTTCACTTAAACTTCCTGTTGCTGATTAGGGAAGAAAAAACATACGGTTACAGTGGAAAAATTCTGTTATTCCTGATCAGGACCATTCAGAAATTAATTGAAAATCCTGATTTGTGAGCTGAGAAGAAAAGGATCCCCACTATACTTCCAGAGCTCAGTTCTCCAAATATTTGGGGGTGGGAAGGAGAAATAGTGGCTCTTGTCTCCCACCCAGTCCCCAAGCAAATACTGCAATTATTGCTGTCTTAGGTTTGGAATCTTGGCTTTGGTGTCTCCAAACATGTGGGAGGCTTCTGTTTCAAGGTACGTTTTGCTAGTAGGTTTCAATCTTTTTAAGATCTTTGATGTCTGCAGTAGTTAATTGTGGTTATCTTGCTACCTGGTGTTCAGCCAGTGCAGTCCACTTTTTTCTTTTTAAATGTGAAGGACAGTTCCAGTGCTGCATCTTCAAACAGCATGGTAGGTGCTGTTAATGTACGAAACACTTTACATTCTGCTGACAGTCGGATTATTTTCAACCTCAATATTGAAAGCAACAAGTCCATTAAATGAAAAGCCTAAATAAAAGGTCACGTTCTCATTTCCAGGGGGCACTGAATCATGATGGAGTGGCAAGATAGGAAACTCCTTCACGTGACCACGTATAAATAAGTTTCTGTCCTTGGTCCAACCAGAAACTCTCCTGAGAATGTCACAGATATTGGCAGTGTTCCATACTGTTCCATGTAGCCACTTCATTCTCCTCTCATCTAAGGACCCAGTAATTAGTTTATCAATTTTAGTTTTGTGCACAATCTTGCCTAAACCATAACCCTTTCCCAGAAAAAAGTGAGTGTAGATTCTTTTCTTTCTGGTAGGAACATCTTTCATCTTGATGTCATACAGACGTTTCAGGGTCTGAAGGGCTGAGTTCAGAATTTCATCCTTATCTGGATTAGGCTCTCGGTCTAATGCCTCGTCTGGCCAGTACAGCAAGGTGAGCAAAAAATGGGCACTTGCTGGAAATGGTCGTTTTCCTTTAAAGAATCTTAGGCTGAGCTCGCGAAGAGTTTGCACTGGAAGAAGTTTGGCTGATCCTGGCGCTAAGCACGCCAGTGTGATGTGGCACAAAATATAATTGATGAGGTCGTTGTCCTCCAGCCTGTCTCTTAGTGGGTTTTCTGTGTAGAAACTGAGGATCTTTTCTAGCTTTTCAGCTGACCTGTTCTCTTTCTTGTCGGTTAGGAACGACAGGATATTAGTGACGCTGCCCCCACCACTCTTATAAATACTCATGCGTCGAATCAGCTGGCTCTCAGGGCTCTTGTTGCTTTCCTCAGTGAGTGACGCAGAGATGAAGAATTTGGCATATACCTCAGACTGCCTTTTTAGCCATTTTCTGGGATTATAAATTTGTTCTTCCTTTTCAACTTTTTCATCTTCCTCTTCCTTCTCGTGGTTTTTATCTGTTTGGAAATAACTTAGGTCCTCTGAAATCCATTCCAGAGCATTGTACAGGTTCTGGCGTAAGCCTTTTAAACGGGAGTGAAGCTTTCCCCATGATTTTTCAATGTCTTTAGGAATGTAGTCTGTGATCAGGTATTTCACAAGCTCAGAATATTCCCCCTCTGGGCTTCTGTGAAATACATGGAGTGTGGACAAAAATCTAAGAAGACGACATCCTACTTCTACTTCTCCAAAATAGCCAGCGTTGTTCATGCTGTCACGCTCTGCTTTTGCAGCCTGTTGTGCAGCCTTGAAGCATTTCATAGCTTTAAGAGCAATCTCTATCTTTTGAATGATGCTCTCAGGAGTGTCCTCCTGTGTCATTTTATCCACAGTGAAACTAAACCACTTCCGGTAGACTTGGCCTTCTGTATCTAAAATAAAAGAGTCATTTGGCAAATGAAGTTTTGCAACCCCTGCCCAATATTCCGCATCTTTAAATTTTTCATTATTGTAATGCAGTCTGGCAAGCTGCTGTGCAAAAAAAGGATCTTTTCCAAGGAGCTCATATGCAGCTTTTAAAACATCTATAGCTTTTTCACAGTCTTCAGCTTTGCAGACGTGTTCGATGAATGGGGAGAAAAGGGTGTCAGTATTGTCACCTCTGCTTCTTTTATCCCGTCGAATAAACAGATCTCTGATGAACTTTATGAATTCCTCTCGTCCAAATCTGTTATCAAAGAGCGTCTTTTCCTCAAGAAGTGTCATTGCAAGTTGGCTTTGAGGCTCATTTCCTGAAAGCTGGTGCAGAATTTCTTTTGCAACCAGACAGTGTATTATCCGGACAGATGAAATATAGGTGGTGTTTTCCCTTAGCTCAATAAAAATCATTCTTGCTTGTTCGCTCAAGTTCCTCTTGAAGTCATATGCTCTTGACTTTGTTTCTTTATATACCCCCAGTCCCAGAAAAGCCTCACAGTGTGACAGTGAAACATAGGAATTGGGTACATAAAAATTAAGCAAAGCCACGTAACGCATCATCGGTCTATCCCTTGCAGTATGTGTCCTACAAAGTCTCTCACATACGTTTCATTGAACTCCTCACACATGAGGACAAACGTAAGTATGAATTCTGGCTTGACGTCCTTCTGCTTCAGTTTTTCGAGTTTAATTTTGAACAGACTTCTCTCTGAGTCCGTCAGTTTGTGAGTGACAGCAACGGTGTCCAGTGGAGAAGCCTTGCAAAGCCTTTCAGGGTCATTGGATCGTCTGCAGCACAGGAGGATGAAGTACGGTCTGGGAGAATTAATTTTCCGAGTTGCTACAGCATCCATTAACTCATTCCTTAGTTCTTCTAAATAGTCTTCGTCGTAGTCTTCGATCAGGAGGAGCACAGGAAGACAGTGACTGATTTCTTTTTCTTCATAGTCTCTAAAGGCAAGTGCATGCTTGCAGACAGTTGCAGGGGGACACGAGGCTTTGATGACAGCACACCTTAAGTCCTTTCTTCTTTTCCATAAAACTTGCCGAGCTATTGTGCTTCCACCACTGCCAGGATGGTGAAATATCTTTAGTTTAACTACTGAACAGTTGAGCCTGCTTCCTTGTAAAATGTCATCTAGGAGTTTGCTAGCATCCTTACATACTTCGCGCTCGATGATTTCCCCGCAGCGTCTTTTATCAGCAAGCCACAAGTTTTCCCAGATGATTTTTCTCCCTCGGTAAAAATTTTGTTCTATTTCTTGTATTTCTTTTTCAGTCAAAAAATCTAATTTGATATCATCGCATTGGTCAACGCAAAGGATTTCTAGGGAAAAGAGTTTCTCCTCCTCCAGCGAGGGAAGTGTACATAGCCCTCTGGTGGAAACTGGCAGGTGCCTGGGTTGGGCTGTGGAAGGCAGCATTGCTTCAATGGTGGCATTTATGTGACTTAGTTTCATCCCCACGATGCTGCATTGTTCCAGTGTCTCGATGTGGCAGGCCACCTGGGCTAGGTTCGCCCACTTCCTGTAGTTCTCCCTGGACTCTGCAATGCAAACAATGTACTCGGCACCGTTCATCTCTGTATAGAATTCCTGAAAAGTGTCCACAAGTGGTTTCTGCACCGGTGACAGCAGTAGGAAGAGCACAATGAAGGACCGCTGCGGCAGGATTTCATCACAGATACGAGTAATTGCTTTCTTAAGGTATTTTTTTTTTGTTCTAATCCATGTATTTTCATCACAAGGTTTTTCATCCCCAAGGAAGTCACTGCGCCCATTGCAGAATATCCAGCTGGTCTGATCAAAGAGGCACAAATGTTTCTGAGAGGGAGGATTGCCAGTCTTAGTTTCATTGGAAAAATCTTGTAAAAAGTAGGACCTCGTTGAGTGGTGCTCTTTGTACTGGCTGTACAGCCCTGAGACGTTTGAGTCTTCATCGAAGTCAAAGACACAGAAGATGTTCAAGTGCATTAAAAAGTTGATGTAGTTCAGATCGTCCTTTTTGCACCTATTTGTGACGAGGATGTACCGCAGGGAATCGTCCATGTAGCTTTTACCGTCATTTAGTAAAATTGATAACTTTCTCCCTAAGTTTTGAGAGATTTCTGTATGTACTTCTGTGCTGGAGAGCTCTGCCTTTTCTCTTTGAGCGTCCCTGTCTTGTAAGCCCTGAATAAAAGTAGCATGATCGTTGGGGTTTATGGGTTCTGACTTTGCCCCTAGTCTGTGGTAGAGAGCCCGATCTTTGGTCAGGGTCACCTTCTGGCTGCTCTCATTGTATTTTGGCAAATACACCTCAAAGATTCTCATCTTTACTAAACTGCATGTCGGTTCAATGTCAACCTCCACCACAAATCTTTGCTCCTGAGAGTCGCTGGAAATCACTTCGACAAAAACGGGTGGGTGAATACATTTCCTTGCAATTTCTTGTACGTGTTTGCAAAAACATTTTTCTATGTAATCTAATGCATCAACGTAGTGTTCTCTGTCTTTGACCTTCACGCCGATGATCTGTCCGTGTTTCCAACCCTTGTCCTCGATGCTGTCCCCGACACCAAAGTGTATGGTGCCGTTGGTTCGGACGTTCATGCAGGCTGAAGCAAACCGTATCACTTCGCAGGCAAATTTTGATTGCAGCTGATTTTTGTTCAGTTCTGCGGCAGTGGCAAAAGATTTGTATTCGTGGCAAGGAGTGATTAAATCATTGATTCCTGATTCTGGAACAAGAACTCTGCCTTTCACGTATTTGAAATCCGTATCCTGACTTCCAAATGGTCGACAGTTGCTGAACTCTAAAACCTCATCGCTACTTCTGAGTTGGGAGCTGTTACTTCTTTGCCTCCTGCCAGCTGGAGGAGCTGTGTTGTCTCTGCTGGTTTGATCTCCTGCACCACCGCTGTCTCCACTGGAAGTTTCTGGAGTGGGGGCATTTCTCAGTTTTACCGGATCTGCTGGTGCATCCGTTCTGTCAGACGTTTTGCTGCGGGGATGCTTGGCTTGCTGTGCCTTTTCCTGTAGCTGCAGAAGTTCATTTCTCTTGCGGATTAACACATGGATTTGGCCTCCCTTCATACCTATGCGCCTGAGGAAAGCATCATCCAGCTCCATTAGCACTGGACCTGTCACTTCTTCTGCATACAGTTTTTCTACGTACTCTTTCTTGATTCCAGTAGATTCTAGCCAATCCTGGACATGGTTCTCATCCCACTTGTTCATAGGTAAACTTCTGTAATCTGGAGGTCAAAATTACCTATTAGAATACAAACTAAAATAGTGTCAATGTGCCCAGGAAGGCATTGCAATCCTTGGGAACTGGCCCCGCAATGCTAGGTGGTGTTCTTTGTACCAGTCACAGTGAGACGCTGTCTTGCCTTCAAGCATGTCAGTTGTGATGACTGAAAGCGTCTTTAACCTTAACCAGGGGCAGTCCTGAGCAGTGGTGCAGGACTCGTAAACCAGTGAAGTAGGAAACCAGGAAGGAGGTTTGGAATTGATCCCCAGAGGGAGTCATGGAAATAAGCCAGAATGGTTCTTGAAGGGAATGATATGATAGGGTTACTGGTATTTACAGGGGCTGAATGCTCTGCACTAGAGACATTGGGGTAGATCATTTACCCATGTTTATTTTCTGCTAAATGAGGATTCTATCAATACAAACCATAATACGGTGTCAGTGCTGATTACCGCCCCGCTAGAGAGGAACCCTTAAAATGCAGGAATTTGCCACGTATGAAGTAGAGACATCCCGAAAGCAACACCTACCCATTGCCTTTGGTGACGGAAATCCCACTGTTAATGAAGGAAACCCTAGAGGGGGGCAAAAAATACCTGTGCTTAGATGTACGGTTAGCATTGCTGTGTTAGTTAGAGTTTGTTCTGTCTTTCCAGCCTCCTCCCACCTTTTAGCTCCAAGGAAGATTCTGTGCCTCTGAAAGCGCAGTCTTGACAGCTACACGGCTGCCGTGTGCCCGTCCCGCGCGAAGGAGGTGAGGATTTGCTGGAGAAGCCTGAGCTGTGCCCATCAACCAGCTGCTTGTTAGGTACTGCGAAAAAGGTGGCCCCACACTCCTGTATCCCCAAGGTTGCATAGTGCCTCTTGTTTTTCACTCCTGACTTCTACTCTCTCCCTTTTTCTGCCTCTTGCTCCCTCACGCTCCCTCTTTTCTCCTTTTTTTTTTTTTTTGTGGGTACTCTGTCCCATTTTTTTTCCCCTGCATCTGTTCTGGTGCTTACTGGATTTTCCATGAAGTAGTTCAACTTACTGCCCAGCCCAAACAAGATTTTAGTGGGGTGTCCTGGCCTGATCCATGACAACCAGTCAGAGGGCTGGAGCTCCTCTGCCATGGGGACAGGCTGGGAGGATTCGGGCGGCCGGACCGGGGGAGGAGA